GCGAAGTGCGTGGATGGCAGGAGGCGTCTATTGACTCCGGGCTACCTTGAATCTACCGACACCGCGGAGTACGAGAACCGCTGAGAAATGGCGATAACGTAGGGGCGGTACTGATGACAGTTACGTGAAATACAGATCAACTGCCCGCGCGCGGCACATCACGCACGCAACGCACGCACCCCGCGCGCACCGGAAGCAGCCGCGACGACACAGCACCGCACACACGCACGCGGACGCATTCCGACACGCACGCAACGTCAGCACTATTACCGCTGGTCTGATATAATCACAATGGCGCCGGCACGCACGACGGGCCCGAGTGAGACCGGTAAATCTCGCCTACTCCACATAGTAGCCGGAGTCTAGGGATGTTCCTTCATACGCCCGGTACTTCCCGCTAACCTAAACCGCCGCCCTATACCCTCGCCACAACAGACACACGCACACGCACACGGCAGCACACACCGAGACAACATCACACCAGACCGAACAATTTAAGTGATCTTCACATCCGACTGTGTTAGGGCACGTCGTGAGCCAGCAGCTTTATAGTTGTGCTTTCGATCAGTAAGTGCGCGCGGAGCAGAGAGGGGCGGGAACGGCTGGAACTCAGCAACGCCGGGCGCGCGCGGCTAGGCGTTCTAACAGGCACTTACCACATAACCGAGTGACGCTTTCAAACTTAAACCCGGACTAACCCTAACAGCACAAAAAGCGCCACATTCATGCAATCTGGCAGTAAGTAAGACTATAGTTAGAGCATCATATACCTTTATTTACACAGCAACATGCGTGGCTAGCTCAACGACTAGTGTTTGACTGATGATCGCAAACGCAATCAGGCTGTCAGATCTTCACAGAGGAATGGGCAGGCGTGCTATATCGTGAGAGTAACGCGCGTCATCTCAACTTTCTTAATATAGCTTTTCACGCATTATATATATATACTATATATATAATACTATATATAGTATATATATATATATATATATACTATATACTAATTAACGTTATAAACAATTAAATACACAGAATTCACTTGCACCGGTGGCGAATATAAATGATATATGGGCTTAGCAGGCACACAATGTAATAGACCTATAAAGGAATAATAGGTCGTAATTGAATATAATAAGTATAATGAATATAAGCAGCTGTAATGGATGTAAATTGGTGTAATCGATATAATAGGAATAATAGTATAGTAGCTAGCTATATTGACTATATAATTATATATATACTATATTATACTAGTACTATAGTAGACTAATTATATATGACTAGGTATACTATATAGGGCACTATGATGATACATGGGCTATAGGTAGAGACACACAAGTAAAGTGGATGAACGAAATAGTTAATATTCCGAGGCATATAACTGCGCTAGTTACCACCGACGCGTAATACACGAAGCCGTACGCTGGAGCCGTATAGTCTGGTGCTCAAAGTTCGGTAAAGCGTTCACACCGAGTTACACGAGATTCGAGGCGCTTAGCTAGCCAGGAATAATATAAGAGCTGGTACCGTGAACAGTTCGACACGCTACACTAACGTCGTGCAGGCGAAACCGGGTACCAGTCTAGGTAGGGGATACGCGGCAGCCGTGGGTGGCGAATAATAACGCGACTTAGTTTGGCGCGGAATACTGATTCGCGCTTAGCAAGCCGGAGATTCGCGGCTAAGGCAAGCCGTGCTTAAGCAAGCCGCGTATTGTTTAGCGTGTAGAAGCGGCAAACGTTTTTCTCCTCGTGTGAACGCAAGGCTATAGGTTATTTAGGGTCTAATAGAAATAATAGGTAAGCAGCATATATAGAATAATAGTAATTTTAGATATACAGGTATATACGTCAATAATAGATAATATCAAGAGCTAACTAATACCTAGGATAGAGCGTAATAAACTAGGATAGAGCTTAATACGCTAGGGATAGAGCTAATACCTAGGATAGAAGCTATAATTAATAGGCTATTTATTAGCTGCTTGATAATATTTATAATAGTTAATAGAAGGATAAGAAGATAATACATGTAGGCTATAACATATAATATAGCGTATAATCATAGGTGATAAATATGACTAGGTATATAGCTATATGGGTGTTGAAGATATAAAAATAGATGAGTGACGGTAACATTAGGCGTGGACTGGAATGGCTGTGTGGGAGCAGTATTTTCCAGCACGCTAGCGTTCATTGGCTAGCAGTCCGAGTAACGAGGAATAACTCGATGACAGCTTACAGGAGCCGAGATTAAGATGAGCACACTCGTTGTCAGGTGTTTCCCGACGCGAAACGACATTCGCCTTCGCTCAATCAGGCGTACGTGATCAGAGTGCAAAGGGCTTCGACCATTGCAAATGAGAAGCTAACGGTAGAAGATACGCCCTTAAAAATCAACCGTGATCTGAATTAACTCGTTATGAATAATTATATATTATATGTACACTGATATTTAGGTCTATCTATCTATCTATTTTATCTATTTATCTTATCTATCTATCTATCTATCTATTCTATCTATCTATTAATCTATCTATCTAATATATCTACTCTAATCTATCTATCTAATTCTATCTACTCTATCTATCTATCTATCTATCTAATCATCTAATCTATCTATCTATGATATCTATCTATCTAATTATCTATCTATCTATCATATCATATTCTATCTATCTAATCTAATCTATCCTATGTATCTATGTAATCTATGGATCTATATATATACTATGTATACTTATGTCCTATCTATATGTATGCTATGCCATGTCTATTAGAAGAACTTGGAATCTTCTTACTTATAGGCCCCTATATATAGTATATATATTGGCCCTATATATATCTATATATATATAAATATACTATTATAGGCTATAACGTACTATAATCGAGTAGAGTAATCCGATATAAGTAAGAGCACTACGGGATTAAGAGGGCGGGCAACAGGGCACGTGCCCCCGGCTACCCACATAGTTAATCGGCGGCCGCCCCACATTTAGAGTATCCTAAAATTTACAAAAAGTGTCGGTGAGTTGCGTGATGGCGCCTACCAATATTCTTAAGCATGTTAAGCGTTTGAAGTGATGGCGATTTCCCCTGCTAGGTTCTCTCCTAATCGTGAATTTTGCTGTTCAGCTGAAGAGAGAGTTCACTATTACTGACCTAATTGACCGGAAAGGTTGCTACTAAAAACTATCGCTTTCATTGATGGTTGCCTCGCAATTGTAGCGGAGTGAAAGGATCATCTCTTAGAAGACACACTACAGAGTTTATGATCTAAAAATCGAGCATGACGAGATAATAAGCCACTATATGACGATGGACGGATTACAGAGACTGAGGTAAGACGTCCAGTATTAGCAATTTTATACTCGCTATGAAAGTGACATTTAATTAATATAATTTGATTTTTGACAGCACGATATGAAATACATCTACTGAATTTGCAATGCATGAAATGCAGAAATACAGATACATAGGAGCCCCACAATATCAATATATTGCGTGCACCGGGCCCCACTCGCACACGCTTAGATCCGAGGCCGAGTTAATATATTCATATATAATACACTCTAAAAAAATTGATTATTCTGTTCAGTTGTTTATACTTTCCTTGAATTATCAAAGATTCGTACAGAATGTTCATTGCGCGCGAAGTTAAACCTCATCAGGTTGATGTTCTTTGTTTCTCCTTTACTAGCGTGAATATGCCACGTGTTATGCGTTTATTTTTATAACGTTGCTAAAAGAAACAGCACGACAATAAATCTTTGGAGCAATAGATTTGTTGAGAGATGCACCGTATGATATTTTAAGGATGGAGTACGCCTCCGTAAAGCAATTTAAATGGGTGAAAATACGATAAAAACTTAGCGGACAATTTCGCGTAATAGGTTAACATGTATAGTATGTATGCTGTTTTTTCACATCTATTTTATTAATTTATTATTCAATAATATATCCCGGTGGAACCAAAATTTGTATAATTAATATCAAATTATCGTATTTATTAATTAGTCGGTTATAAATCTGTGTCCTGCGACATGTTAGCGACGCCGGTGGTAGGTATGAAATTAAGGCTCTAGTTAGGTTGTTTTTTTTTTTTCGGTATCTCGTCAACCGCTGAAATGAGGTTGTTTGAGTGCTGTCAGACAGAATGACAGTAGGGTAAAGGCAGCTTATGATGCGTTAGTCCTGACTTTTGTTTGCTATGGAGGTGGTGCACTCGGTGATGGGGCCTGTGCACGTACTGAGGCCATTGTTGTAATAAGACTGCTCATGGGCTAACATCAGAGGCACTCCTGTTCTTTCCTTCATGGTGTTACCAATTTGCTGCCCAAGTGTCTTGGCGGACACTTTAAGCGACCGCGTCAGCCTTGGTTGAAGTAAAGGAGCAAAAATAAAGAGCAGCGCTTAGGAGGCAGAATTTTTATTTATATTTTATTATCAATTATCAAAAGGTTTCATTGAACGGTATAAATGCTGAGCTATTGGGAATATAGTGTGGAACGGCCGATAGGGTTGGGTAACGCGAGGCAATGGATAGTTGTTTATGCTAGCTTACTGCTTTTAGGTCTAACTACAATTAATCCATATATTATATATTATATTAATATATTTTAATTATGTTGTCAGAGGTAAATATCTCAAATTTGGTTTCTTATTTGAGATTATATGCGCCATGAATTGACCCACAACCACAGTTGTCCTCTTTTTTAAACTATCACAATTTCCATCACTTATAATTTACATCTAGAGCGAATCACATTAAATAAGCGTAATCAAAAATAATTAGTTGCTGGCACAGCTACACAGTGTGACTGCCGACGACACGGGTTTTTAACGGCCTACCCCACACACCACATCGAGAGCGCAGTGTCCAACATCGGACAGCACAACGACTGAGCAGCAGCGAGACCAGAGTATATCACAGACACGCGTGCACGGCATGGGCGCCAGACATCGATAGCATTGACCTCGTGAAAAGATTATCAAATGGCGCTTGCACCTGCTTCACCGGTAAAGAACTGCCGAGTAGGGAGAGGGGAGCTTTTCGAATATTAGCATCTACAAATATGCATATAACATCCAATGATAGGTGTAGATGTAGGATTGAACAGGGTCCCTACTGCAACTGATATATGGAGTGTAGATATCACGATTTAGATAAACGAAAATATTCAAACATTCGGCAATCTTCGACACTTAATAGAACTAGACTACAGTCGGCATAAAGAGCATGCTTTCTTTTCTATGGTTGAGGAATTTACATTCTAGTTTGAATATAGGCACTCGGAAGTAGTATTTCGTTGGTTATGAGAAGCAGGTCATGTGCTTGTGTTCTCTCTGTATTTGAAGTGATTGGGATGAATACATAATGGAGATATAAATATATTAATTTAATTTACATAATCAATATTATGAGTTGATTACAAAAATGTTATGCACTGTTATGAGATGCGGAGTGAACATTGAACTTATGATAATATAATATTCCGCATTAGAGGAAAAGGCCGCCGCGGCGCGTAACGCGGATCTCACGTGCCGCTCACAGCCCCAGCCACTGCGCACACCTCCGGGTTGTCCCTCAAAGTGTAACGCGGATTGACTCACGGCACACTATTAAAAAAAATGGCCGATCGATATACGTTACATCGAGTACTGGTATATGTCGGAGAAGTTATTCGTGTTTATTTATTCTTCTTCCGTTTCAATATATCACCTGTTTTACTTTTTTTCTACGAGAAAAAGTAAATAAAAGTAAAGTCAAGACTAATGTTAAGACTAATTTTGTTTGTGACATAGGTCGCTTGAGCCATAACCTCCAATACGGGGCAAGGGGGTGGCTGGCTTCACTAGATTTTTGCCTGGGAAGAGCTAGACCTAGAAGTGAAGGTTAGACGTACTCCATTGTTGAGGCAGGGGCGGGATGAGCAGGCGTTGTAGACCTGGGTGCAGCGTGGGCCTCCCCACTCCGGTGGACACGTGCACACGTAGCCATTCACAGCGTCCGTGCACAGACCTCCGTTATCACACGGGTTCGGGAAACAATCGTCTATGTTCTCTCCACACTTCTCCCCTGCAAACAACAACAATAACAACAATAACAATACAGCATACAACAACAATAATATAACATATATATCTGTTCTCGCCACAGCTCTCCACTACAAACAACAACAATGACAATGTAACATACAACAATAATAACAATGTGACATACAACAATAATAACAATGTAACACACAACAACAATAACAATGTGACAAACAACAACAGTAACAATATAACAAATAACAACAACAGTAATATAACATATATCGATGCAGAGGCCCCCTGTTGTCACATAAGTTGGGTGAACCGATTCTCTGAAAACAGCAACAAGTCAACACCGCTCAGCATCACAAGTAGGAATAATAAGTTATGTTATCGTTATATACACTTTTTATAGCATCATCTTACTCTTAATGACATGGTGGAATGGTTTGTGGCGTTTTTTCCCATTTAAAGAAAAGGAAATGCAACCTATGCCATCTAAAGACAAGCCTGTTACTGTAAATAATTACGAAGACAGAAAAGCATGCTGAAAACAACATACTTAAAACAACTTTTAAACTATAACAAAATAATTTTCCCTACTCCTGTGATGATTTAGTTAAGAAGTTCAAATCAAGTTAGTTTTTAATTTAGAACTCAGAACAAATTTAGCTGTAAGAATCGTAAATGGCAGGACAGCTGAAATCAGAGACCACGCAGGCTCATGAAGGTAACGGTGGCTCGCCAACGCTCACCCCTGAATCCAACAGCACACTGGCAGGAGAAAGCACCGAGATGATCGATGCACGTTCCGTTGTTTCTACATGGCTGTGGTTCGCACTCATCTATGTCCGACTCGCACGTCTTCCCCGTCCATCCCGGAGCGCACTCGCACTGATAGTCTGCCACCTGGTGGCAGCAAACACAGCAGACGATACAGACACAATGACGTAGTGCGCGACATTCTGAAGCTATCGTTGTTATTTTACACTTGTCGCTTTTTTGTTTTTAAATTTTAACATTGTGATACATGATTGTGATTGTAAATATCATTAGGTTCATAAATCTATAATCTTCATAAATCTATTATCTACCTGTCTAAGTGTGCTATAGCTGGGTGACAGGAAAGAGGAAGAGAGTAACAGGGAACATATGCAGAACAGAACATGGAAGATTGAACATGGAACTGCAGGTTATCATGTTACCTTACCGCTTATATATATACATGTAGACAAGTTTGGTCTCGTCTGTTAACGGGCATAATACTAATAGCATAAATCTGTGCTGGTATATAGGCTATAAACCAGTAATGAACAGCCAACTTGTGCCTTCACTCCTGAGATACGCGAACAGGCACCCGTTTACATGACGTAAAGTTTTCAAGACTGTTACTTTATTTCGACGTACTAACCATGTCGTGGCAGACGATGGCGTTCATACCATGCAGACACGTTACAATCAGAGAGTAAGTTAGTTAAGAAGGGAGAGTAGTAAGAGTAAGATAATACTTTATATAATATGTATACATTACCATGTCGTGGCAGGCAATGGCGTTCCTACATGGGTTCGCCGCACAGTCATCCACGTTCACCTCACAGTTTGTTCCCACGAACCCGGGCAGACATGAACACGAGTAGATGTTCAGACCATCCACACACCTGATCAAAGACAAACAGTGATAATGTAAAACCATATAATATATAATCTTAATGTAATAATTACATGTAATAATTATTCCTCTCAACTATATTTTACTGTATATATTTTACACTCTAATAGCGCAACATTCTCAATAATGGAATGGATAATGTAGGGGATCAATGTTAATTATTGTACCTATTGCTTTTCTTGTTCTTCACGAATGTATTTATATCATAGAATGAAAGTGTCAATGACACTGTAGCTCACCTTGGATGTGATAGAAGAGGGAGGGGGATATATAAAGCAAGAGTATATATGGGAGAACTCCCATTATATCACTGATTATATAGCATATATCTCCCATTATAATATACTCTTGATAATAATATATGCATAAGTTTTGATGCAAAAATAAATGTTTCAGATCTGAAAGTCTGAAATCTTGACGAGAGATGCGCGGCGCTACACCTAAATGATCGCCATTTTGGTTTTCGAATATCGCGCAAATAAAAACAATAAAATATTCCAGTCAAATTACTGTAACGAAGAATCTAAAACACAATATTACACGTATATAGGTATGATTGTAAAGTTGTTAACCAGTTAGACGAAATAAACGTAATAGGACGTTGTCATCTCTCCCATAGGAGTAACAACTGTTTTGGATTTACACATTCACATACTAAAATTTAACAAAATCGAATGAATTTAGATGGCCATTTTCATTTTTGCCAAAAAGTGGACGTGGCTCGAAAGTAGGTCGACTGGCATGCTCCAAAATAGGAAGTTCAAATCTCTCTCATAGGAGGACCGGTAACAACTGTATTCAATTTGAAACATGTGGGTCAAACGGTTCTTGAGTTATCGTTGACCGTAGGCAGACACTGAAATGCATAGTAAAATTGCCAAAATCTACCTAATTTGCATAATTAAAAAAAAATCAAAACCTGCGTGATATGTTTTGATGGGCGGACAGTCCTCATTCATTAACATACGCGAGAAATGAGCAAAATATTGACTGAACTGACTTATGGCCATTTCATTTTGCCAAAAAGTGGAGCGTGGCTCGGAAGTAGGTCGACTGGCGTGCTCCAAGAATAGGACGTTCAACACGCTCCATAGGAGCACACAGCATGCATCTACTGACATGTGTGGGCAAGGTTCTTGATCGAGTTATCGTTGACGTCACAAATGTTGACGGACAGACGGACGGAACGGAGATGGAGCGACACCCCATGGCAATAGCTCATCTTGACGATGTCAAGGCGAGCTAAAAAATTGGTTCCGGGTTTTCATTTTAATTTTATCATAAAATTTCTAGGGGCTTCTATTATTTTTGTGGAAAAATATTTCTGCGAAAAAAATGTTTCAGGAGAAAATCTCCACATAGGTGGCGCCGGCGCGGTGTCCAGCAGTGCTTACGTTGCGTTGTTGAGGCAGGGTCGGCCCACGCAGTCGTCGATGTTGACTTCGCACATCTTGCCCGTGTAGCGCGAGGACAAGCGCAGTGAAACGTTCCGAACAGATCCGTGCAGACGCCATTGTTCTCACACGGCGCCACCGCACACTCGTCTATCTCCACGCAGCTCGACGGCTCGCCTGAAACAAGCGAACGCTCGCTCAATGAGATGCCCGCGATTCAAAACTTTAGCGAAAATCAGTAAATATACATTGTATATCAATCCATTCTGAAGTTGGGAAACGGAAATGCAGTCAAGTAGCTATGCAGTGGCGCAGTGAGCAAAGGGTCTATGTTCCCGCCAGGGTTACTTCGCCAGGAAGCGTACGCCTGGAGTGATATAAATATGCGGACCGTACTTCGGCCGTACTCCCTAACGAGTCCAAGGAGTCGCCGTACGCCTACTGCCTAACGCCTAACCCTAATTCGCTAACATATCAGATTTAGTTACCAAGGTCGTTGCCGGTGATATACCCGAGCCGTACAGGGTAGTCCGCCAGTACGCAGCCTGGGGGAACATAGACCCTATGAGCGATACTGCTAGATGACATACATATCGACGTTTTTCTACATTCTTTACGATCGCTTTCCCACAACATTGTGTAATTACAGCACCTAAGACTTGCTGACACAAAATGTGTTGCTATCAGCAACAACAGCTACAATTTCGAATTGCTTGTCATAATACATGCAGCCATCATATTTATGAAATAAAATACATAAAAAAGCATTCAAACTTCTATATGACAGTAAATTTCACGTGCAAGTCGAAATGTCTATAAGCCTATATATTCTCGCATCATAGTATATAGCTAACGATACACACTCATACCACAAGGATGACACAGATATATATTGTGCCACAATTTTTGACACATATATACCCGTGGGGAACGGTATCGCGACCCCAGCATACGTGACCAATCACGCCTCGTACCTGTGTACCTGTAGACAGCGACAAGCGAAGCTGTTCACACCATCACACACTGAGCGTTCTTGCCGCAGGGTACTCCTATACAGTCATCTATGTTTGTCTCACAATTAACACCTGCAATATAAGGTGTGTGCCGCATATAAGACTGATTGAATATCAGCGGTGAATAACAATAAAAACATAAATTCTAAGCAGAGACTAATTATATTAACAGTACTACTCATCAGCTACTATCTTAATAGATTAGGATATGGAAGGTGATAGGGTGATAATTTAGAATTACGCCATGTAGTATGATAGTTCACACTATTTGGCATGCTGAATATCTTTATAGCAATCGCTACGTGAACTGAAACAATCAAGCTGAGGCATAAAAAGTTCACTGTAACGTCCATGTAACGCCTGTAGAAACAACAAAGTTACGACTGTACAAGTACGTAACGGAATCACGCAACGTTACAGTACATACGCGCAACATTACTACAACATCGCGGCTAAGTTACGACTGTACAAGTACATTAGGAGTGGTTAATATAACGGAACTTGTGCGACGCCTGGTCATTCGGTCATGCGGGGCTACATTACTACAGAATCAATGCTAACATCTCCATCTGTGCAGCCCACAGCTCTGACTACATTACATACACTACATAACGTAAGCGCTCCATAACTGCAGAATCAATGCTAACATCTCCATCTCTGCGCGGTGCTAGCAGCTAGCGACTCTATACACATGTCTTTTACCATGTTGTTCGGTTTTGAACTCATAGGCGCGTGACCTCGGGGGTCCAGGGGGGGATGCAGTCCGGCAGCGCGCCTCATTCGATCAGGGCATGTCGTTAGCAGTACGGCCTGTGCAGCTTGTTCAGTCAGGACGGGGCGCTCTCGCACTCGTCGACGTCCTCATCACAATGCGGGCCGCCGTATCCCAGCAAGCACTTGCAGAAGGGGGCAGGCCTTTGCTGGGGTCCAGAGGTAGCGGGAGGTCCCCGCCGGGACAGTCCTTTGGGATTTGTAGGGTAAAGTTTTTAGTGTAAAACACGGTTGTTTCGTGTTAGTATGATTGGGTAGCGACCCACGGTGCTTTGTCGTGAAGGTGGAATTGAAAAGTGTGGGTATGTTGCATAACGTCACTGCGCCGTATTTTGTCGCAACTCTAGGGTCCATTTTATTTGTTTGGTACTCTCGGCACGCGACGGACGGTCCTTAGTAACGACGCAACGTCCGCATAGCTACTCAGAAATGAACATAAAAGGCACGTTGAGCGTCTGACGAGTTAACGAACGTAGCAGCACAGGTTAACGAGCGTACCTGCAGCAGCACAGGTTAACGAGCGTACCTGCAGCAGCACAGGTTAACGAGCGTACCTGTAAGGGGCAGCACAGGATTAAACGAGGGTGAACTGAGCAAGCACCACGTGGTTTTAACGAGGAGTACTGCAGCAGCACGGGTTGACGGGAGGGGGTGACCGTGCAGCCAACGATGGATTAATTGAGCTACATGCAAGCATCGCACTGGTTGAGCGTACCTGCAGGAGCATAGGTTAACGAGGCTTAGGCTGGGGCAGGGCACACCGAAGGGCTAAAGGCAGCACAGTTAACGGGCGTACCTGTCAGCGCACATGGTTAAGCGAGGCGTAGCTGGAGGCAGCGCCTGGTTAAACGCGCAGCGTACTGCAGGAAGGCTAGGTTATAAGCGAGTGGCTTAGGCTGGGCAGGCAGCACGGGTAAACGAGCAGCACAGGTTAACGAGCAGCACAGGTTAACGAGCGTACCTGCAGCAGCACAGGTTAACGAGCATACCTGTGGTCAGTGAGTCGCACAGGTATAGTGCTGATGCGTCCATGGGAGGCCGCTGGCGGTTGGCGCAGGGTTTTTTGTGGTTGAGAGTCTGTTATGTTGTTTCTTCCACCACAACCCCCCCATCCTGGAGGCTTCCGCTGAATGGGGCCGTGCAGACTGAAACCACACAAACTAGTGATATGGAAAAACCACAACGATTTCGTGCAGTGAGCAGTCAACACACAACAGTTAAGAAGAACTCACCAAGCAGAGTATTTGCGAAAAATCCACATACACCATGACTCTAAAAACATCCAGCGCAGAATCAAAACAAGAATACATACACAGACATCAATCAACTTTTTCCGCTCTTCGAGGGGATTTTTCCTTGCCTGTTTACAGGGGGGGGGGTCCGGGGAATTCACTTTGCTTGTAACAGAAACGTAAACACACAGCGCATGGACGAAAGCCAAACACCCCACACAGAATCAAACCAAAACAAAAACCTCCGCCTTTGAATGATTCAGACATCAATCCCACAGGATATGCACAGTTACTATGTCGAAAAGCGCACACGCATATTTACACTTATTTTAACAGCAATACACATCAATACACAGCAGACATTCACACATCACACCAGAGGGTTTTAAACAAGGCACGCAGGACATCATATCGCAACGCAGATTCATCATAAACACAGCGTATCATCAATATCAAAAGCCACACGCGACATCAAACACACACGCACACATCATTTTTGGAAGCGACACAGCAGTAGACCTCAATCACACCCAAAGAGACAGTCGAAACAACACACAGCAATCAACAACACACATGTATGAGCATCAACTACACCGCAGACATACACCCACACGACATCAACACACAACAGACATCAAACACCATACCGCACACATCTAGACAACCACAGTATGAATATCAAACACACATCACACTACCCACGCAGAAGCAGATGCAAACACAACACTGCACACTCAACACACACTGGTGAGTGGATTCACCATTTGCAGACTCAACCACACACGCAACATCAATACAGCCCACACAAGTAGACATTCTTAGCGGACCACACCACAGAGCATAAAAGCGGAACAACAGCACAAATAAAACAGCACACACGC